AAGGGCCGCGGGGAAAGTTCGGGGGCCGGGGTGCGGGCCGTGCCGTGGCCCGGACGGAGCGGAGTGTCCCGTGGGTGCCCGGGAGCGGGAAAGCGGCCCCTGCGCGAACGGCCAGGTTCGGGCGGGCCATGGCAGCCCTTTCTCCCCTGCCGCCTTCCGGGCGGCCCCGGCCTAGGCGGGATGCGCCTCTCACTGTGCCTCTGGCCGTTCTGTTTTGCAGGAGGTTTTCGGTGCAGAGATGTGCGAGATGCCACCTGGGGATTTCTGCCTCCGAGATGGTCATGAGGGCCAGGGATTTGGTCTATCACTTAAACTGCTTTACTTGCACCACTTGCAACAAGATGCTGACCACCGGCGACCACTTTGGCATGAAGGACAATCTGGTGTACTGCCGCCTCCACTTCGAGACTCTCATCCAGGGGGAGTACCAGGTGCACTTCAATCACTCGGATGTAGCCGCGGGGAAGGGCCCGGCGCTGGGCGCGGGCTCTGCCAGCACTTTGGGACTGCCTTATTACAACGGCGTGGGGACTGTGCAGAAAGGGAGACCCAGGAAAAGGAAGAGCCCGGGGCCCGGCGCGGACCTGGCAGCCTACAATGCAGGTAAGAGCCCAGTGTGCCCCAGCACGATCTGAAAGGTTTGTTTCTGCTCGCTTCCAGTGGGGGATTTCCGTTTATTTTAGCTTAAACCGTTAATAATAGTTTAGCTGCAGCATAATTATTGAGATCAAGTGCTGTCAAATTGCAATTACAGAAGCTAATATGTTAGCATTTTTCACTTCAGCTGGAAATAAAATGTTTTGAAGCGAGGTCATCTGGTTAAGGAGGGGGGAGAAGGGGGAGCACAGCCTGAAATGAAATCTGGAAACCAGAGATTGTAAGTTAGCACTTCAGAGAGCTGTGAATTTCCTTTGGTAGCTGCGTTCTTAAAGGCTGCTGATGGGTGAATTATTCTGCCCTTTCCCAGAGCTCCCGCTCCTCGGAGTCTGGGAAGGAAGGAAAGGGAGAGGGGAAGCGAAGGAAGCGGCGGGTCCCCGGGGCGCTGCGCGGGTGCCCGCGGAGCCGCGGGAGGCCGGTGCTCGCGCGGAGAGCCGCGAGG